AAGAAGAAGAAGAGAGAGAGAGAGAGAGAGAGGAAAAAAGAGTTAGAAAGCAACGCGTCATACTCGTCCTAATGGTTTGGCCGGACGAGTGCTTTTTTGCGCGGAAGCCACAGGGATGAAAATGGACGACCGGTTGGTAAGGTTGCATCGATGTTGAGATTGGATTTTCTTTCTTTCTTTTTACTTTTCTTTTCTTTTTTTCTCCTTCGATTAATAATCGAATCTACTCAACAAAACTACTATCTCTACGATCTTTGCTACTCTACGTATAATAGCTAATAATCGCGCCCCCTTGCACAATGCTTCTTTCTCGATTTTAATAAACGAGGAAGAATTTGCTCGTGAGATCGACGACGATATTGTGCAAAAAGGCGGAGAGAAAGTAAGAGATTGGCTCGAGTATCGGTGTGAACAAGGTGTAACATCTGCGAGGCCACCAATTTTTTCAATACGTTTATTATTTTTTAAACAATAATTTTAACCGCTCGTTTATTTCAATCGTTTTACATACGTGGATAGTTGTGTAGAGTGTAGACGTTAGCTTACAAATAGGTTAGTTTAGTTTTTTTTTTTTCTTTCTTTTTTTCTTTTTTTCTTTTTTTTCTTTTATCCATACATAACGTGTGTACGTGTAACGCGTGTTAACGTCTTCTTCGTGTGTATATAGGCGTGTACCGTCGTGTATACGTGCTCGCGCGTGTCCTAAAGTGTGGTGTGTCGATCATTTCGACTCGTGTTCCTCGTGTAACCGTGTATACACGTGTGTTTATGTATCTCTCTCGCGAACGCCTGTATGTATATTATGTAATGTATGCATGTGTATGTACGTATGAGTCGTCACGTGTGTATATATACTCTCCTCTCAGAGTATAGGTATTTGGCTCTCCTCCATTATTTAGGTAATTAATTAATATATTACATAGCGTTTCTGCTTCCGTCGTTTCGCTCCCCCCTTCCAAACCTCACCCGGAACGATTTTTCATCCCCGCTATCGGCACCCTTCTCTCCCACACCCCTCGGTCCTCCGCTCATCAAACTCATCATCACCCCCTCCACCCCGTCAACACCAATTGAATCGCAATCTCAGGAATTGTAAGACGGATTTAAGTGCCATTTGCCCTTGCCTCCTCCAACAACACGGTTGGAAACGGAGATCGAGCGCGTTCGAACGACGCCGAGCGTCTTCTCTTCGGGGATCGACGATCGAGCGATGTCCGCGGGAGGAAGCGATGTCCGAGGCAACAGTGACGCCTTTTTTTGTTTTTTCTTTTTCTTTTTCTTTTCTCTCATTTTCTTCATTATTTACAGACCGCGGTAGAAGTGGATGGCCCTCGCGAGCCTCGATCGCGTTGTCGGATCTGCGCCAAGGGGATGCGAAAAAAAATCGTCCGAGCTGGACCGATTCCTAAACTAATTCCGGTCGTTGAAAGAGAAAAAGAGAGAGAGAGAGAGGAGAGAGAGAGATAAGAAAGAAAGAAAGAAAGAAAGGAAAAGAACGAATTCGAAAGAGGGATGATTGAACGATGGACGAATTAAAAAACGGCGATTTGTGATTAAGTGACGAGAGCTCGGAAGGGGTTTGAAATTTCGTCGACGGACTAATCGGCCAGCCCCATCGATCGCATCCCCACCGGCTGCTGCTCCGCTCACTAGGCACTACTGTCGCTGAGTGTGATGTACAAAGGGATTCGTAAAAGTTACTGTACAGTCTATCGAGTATGCGTCGGTGGCTCGAGAGGCTCGCGACGGCCGCGCTTCGGGGTGGTAAATGATTGCCTTGGGCGCTCACTGACGCTGGAGACGGCACTGCTCGATCGGCGGCCCCTGCTGAAACGATCGTGTTTTCCTTCCTCCATTTCTTTTTTTTTTTTTATCGTCTCTCCCCCCTTTTCGTCGTCGATTACGCGTTCGTTGGCGGAGGAATTATATCCAGCAGGGGTTGTCGCGGAACGAATGGTAGGGGAGGAAAAAAAAAAAAAAAAGAAAAGAACAAAGAAAAGAAACGCACGGCACGATAATACGGACACGATGGGCAGGTGGCACTCGGTTTTCGGAGACACAACAGACACAGACGCACGAGAAACAGACAACAGGCAGACGGACAAACAGACAGGCAGGCGGACAAACAGACAGACAGACAGACAGACAGACAGATAGACAAACAGATAGACAGAGAGATCGGCATTGTTAACAACGGAAGATTCTCGGTGATTCGTTGTTGTTTATTTAAAACAAATTTTTTTTTTTTTCATTCGTTCTGCGTGGATCGTCGCTTCCTCTCAATTCGACGCTTTTCACCCTGATTAATTTTCCCTTTATTCCATTTCCACTGTTCGACGTTCGTACGAGCGTCGATATCGCCGCTTCTCGTCGTGACGCGAAAGCGATCGTAACGATGATCAGCCATAATAAATAATATCGTAACAGTCGCGATAACAATAATGGTAAGTACAATAGTGATGATAATATCAATCGTGACGAAGGAATCTGTGTGAACGGTACAATGGTTAAATCGCAACAAACGACACGACGCTTGATTCGCGCCAAACATTTCCTTCGACATTATCGATTATCCTCTTTTCTTCCAACTCCTTCCTTCCTTTCTAATTATTCTCCCATATTTCGCGCGTATATGTACATATGTATATCATTATACCGCCTCGTCGCACTGGCGCAACGATATAAATCTGCTAAACGCGTGTCGCCACGCAGCGACGACCGATCGTGAACGATCGTGACAAACAACGTTTCTATTCCCAATCAGCTGTTCGAGCAGCCGCCATTTCATTCATGCGCTCGCAGCGACGTCGACGAGCATCGCCGAAATCTCGTCGGCCTTTTCCGATTAAAAATTGTATAAAACGCTCGTATCTTGCCGGTAATCCGGTAATTTTAAAATTCCTTTCTTCCTTTCCTCGCTTCCCTTTCACACACGTCTTATATACCCTTTGAGCGTTGGAACCACGTTTCAAAATTTTTCCAATCGAGAGGATCAACTTGTGAAAAAATAATCAGCCTCGGTAGTTGGAACCACGATTGACGACGATTCCAAATCTACCATAAGATAAAATCGTTAAAATTTCGAGAAATTCCGTTTTGAAGCGTATTGAACGAATTTAAATGAGTCCAGGATAAATCTATCGCCCCCGATTTCCCCTCGGATCGAAACGTGTTTCCCCAAAAATCGATCGGGTTAAAATCGTGTTCCTTTCTTTTTTTTTTTTTTCCCATTCTTACTCTCCCCTCCACTTGTTCCATCCGAGAAAAAGCAGGATTTACGACGACGCTTGGGACGAGCGTATCGGCGATTCGTCGATGACGATCTCGTTCCATCGGGCGCGTGAAACCGTCTCGACGGCGATTCGATTTCGAGCGGACGCTCGATCATCTTCTTCTCGATCGATTTCCATTCGATACCGCGATCGATACGTACATATACATATACACACATTTATATTTATATATAATCACGGACGAAAGCGGGCAGAGACTCGTCGAGGCGCGAGACGACATCGACGCTGACACTTTTCTCTCGCGTTGGGATCGTCCTTCATTTTCCTTCTTGTGCCGATTAGAATGCGCGCGAAATTTCCAATCCAATTTGATCGATCCAAGCCTTGCCGATCGACCAGTCCCCGATCGCTTCTCGCCCAATTAAACTCGAGACGAGTTCGAGTAACGGAAAGAGAATCTCCTCTCGACGACATTTATTTTTTTTTTTTACTTCGTTGCTCTAGCCGCCGTCCTACTCTCTCCCTTCTTTTCACCTCTTTCTTATTCTCTTTCTCTCGATCCTCGTCGTCTCTCGCAACATGTACACGCGCACCAGGTTACATAACTTACATTGTTTATTATTATTATTATTATTATTATTATTATTAATATTATTAATATTATTATTATTAATATTATTATTATTATTATTATTATTATTTTGTTTATCAAATTCAATTGTTTTATTCTGCGTATCTCTCCGCTATGTGTGGTTTCATCGTTCTACCGTTCACGCACACGGTCGCTTTCAGGCAAACAGGTTAGGTTCGCTCGGCTAGTCAGGCACTCAAGTGTGTCCAGGCATACATATACCGGTCGCACGATAAATACGTATAATCAAATACTTATTTCCAAGCCGACTTAATATAGGATAACAGCTTCATCTCATTTGTATATCTCGTATGTTTTAGGTCGTAAATCTAGAGGATTGGCACGAGTCCGCCGTACGAATCGATTAGTTAGAAAAAATCTAGAATCTTCTTAATTACCCGTAATTTTATCGTAAACATTTAACTGTAGATTCGATACGTTTACTTCCTTAATAACACACACACGTCCCTCGTTCTACGTTCTTACGTACGGATATAACAAAATGTTCGTATGTTTCTTTCTCTCTTCTCTCTCTCTCTCTCTTCTCTCAATCTCTCTCTCTCTCTCTTTCTCTCAATCTCTCTCAATCTCTCTCTTTCTCTCTCTTTCTCTCTTTCATTTCCTTCGTTCTCCACCTTTATCGACAACACACACCATCATCGTCGTCAACATCAACGTCGTAATCTCCCGCGTTTCTCGTTCTTCATCTCCTACACCTTCGCTTCCTCCATTTTTTTTTCCCCCCTCCTCTTATGCGTATTATTTATGTACGTTCACGTGTAAGTGTTCTATGCGTGTACGTGTTTCCTTCGTTACGTTTCCATCCTCTCCCCGTTTTCGAACGTCCGCGATCCGGCTCGATCGACATCGAGAATAATCACGGGAAACGGGAAAAGGGAGCGAAAGCAGGAGGCGACGCACGGAACGAAATCGTAGAAAGAAAAAAAAAACCGAAAAGAGCTCTCTAAAAGCTGCTGGGTTAAAGGCTGGATTTTTCACCCTCGAAGGAAAGGGAAGAAACTTAAGAGACGGGTTCGCAAGAACGAACGGTGCTCGAAATTTCGCTCGATAGCGCTCGAATCGATCGAAATCGGCAGAAAAATCGATCGTAAAAACTGAAAAGCCTTTTTCTTTCCACCGCTTCTTTCGCTTCCTTTCGTGTTTCCTCAGCTTGCTAGCGAGGCAAAAATGCGTTCGACGAGGGAGGGTATTTCTTCCTTCGGTCGCGATATATGTGTATGCGTGTTTGTGTATGTGTGTATGTATTTGTATGTATGCGCTTGCACACTGTGTTTGCACGCGTGCATAGTTCGCGTTTTAAATCGGGATCACTTAAGATCGATCTAAGGAAAGTAGTTCGAGAGTTTGAGAAAATGGGTGGTTAGAGAGGAGGTGGTTCGAATTCATTCGTGGGGGATCACACTTTCGTTTCTGTTTTATACAAAAACCTATATTTACAAGTGACGGTAGACGATGAACGAAAGCGTTGTCAGTCAGAAACGAAGCTCTCCTCGAACGTACGCACGCGTGCAACTCGTGTATATATCGAGTTTGCTACGAGTATTCGCAATTGCGATTCCCCTTTGCGAAAACCGCACCACTCCCCATCCGGGAGACGATGGCTGCCGTTTCTGGCCATTCCTTCCCCTCAACACTCCAACTCGATTAATATTTTTCGTCTCAATTATTCCCCTCCCCTCCCGTGTTCCTTCTCCTCCTCCTCCTCCTCCCTCCTGAAAAAAACCCTGATTCGTTCAATCGCAACAATCGTTCGTTTCGCGTGCTATTTTTTTTTCTTTTTTTTTCTTCTTTGAAACCGTAGAAAATGTGAGGCGTAGAAAAAAGCGTCCCGCGGCACACTCGACGAACACGTGCCGTGTTCTCTCATTTCCCTTTCTCTCTCTTTCAGTTCGATCCACTAGAGGGTCGAGCCCTCTCCTCGAGATTTTCGTTTTTCCTTGGACGAGGGTGGGCGAATAGGTGGATGCAGGGGTAAAAGTCGAAGGTCGATCCGTCAATCTTCTTCGAAATATTCCGTTCTTCTTCTACATTCCCATTCATTATTCGCTACGAGGAAAGATCTCTCGCTGGATCGCTTCCCCTTCGTCCTCTCTTCGTTCGATCTGGAAGAGACACGCGACGATTCTCACCTTTTTTTTTCTCCCCCCCCCCTTTCTCCTTCGTCTTCTCTTCGTTCATCTTCCAATTTTTTTTTCTTTTTCTTTTTTTTTTTTTCCGAGGGATAAACCTCGACAACAAATATTCACGGATGGCCCTCGAGGTGGCCGGAGCAATAAGTGTCTGATTGTCTTAACAATACTATCAGTTTTATACGAGTTTTATCCTCTCTCTCTCTCTCTCTCTCACAACATCGTCTCTT